GGCAGAGACAGTGGCGGGGCCAAGGTTAAGCCCCAGCAGGCTTCCACTGAGGTAAGCCAAAAGCCCCAAGCCCCTCAGAACCCCGTGGGTCTGTGCCTACTTATCTTTATGGTGATCCTCCTGCATTCCAGTTGTGTTAAAGTTCCCTCTAAGCAACTCTCCTGGGCTGGATTCTGTGGAGTCCCTCTGGTATGTGTCACTCTGTCTCCATCTTCCCGGAAGTCAATTTGTTCTTTCTTAATTGGTTTATTTTCCTTTTATGGGTTAACTTTTTGAGGCTGTGAATTTCTCTTAGATTACTATTTTAAAGATATCTCCTGGATTCAGACATACATACCATAAGTTATTAAAATTATTCAGTTCTAGAATTTCATGTTTTAGATTCCTTTCAGCTCAAGAGGTAACATTAATTTTTTTAAATACTGAAGCAGTAGGATTTTTAAAATGGGTTTCTGCTTGTGGTTATTTGTGATTTTTCAGTCAGAGAACTTTGCTTTCTGAGACTCATGTTTACTTTGACTCCATAAAACTTATCATAGTCTTCTTTGTGACCTTAGCTATACCAATGAATGCAGTGGAGCATGCAAGGGAAAAAGCCATGAAAACTCCAGAGAATCATACCAAGGGACTGAGTCACTGGGCCTAGGGGATCAGGGCCATAGTCTCAAGGCCCACCAAAATAAATTCACATGCTGTAGTTCATAAAGACAATGTTCACCTAACTTGCTGAGTATTGATTGGGGTCTCAGGTGCGACTATTGGTTTCTACCCATTGAAGGGAAGAAGACTAATGAGAATCTAAAGACCTGTGGAAACATTCAGTCCAATAAACAAATGAACCATGTACATTGGTCAGAGAGAGACCAGTAGAACCCCCAAGACTGTGAATCTTGGAGGGTTGGGGGAGTAGCTATTAATGCTCATAACTACTGTTTTTTTCCCGATAAAAGAGGCATTCTCTATTTCAGAGTGCAAAGATCTGTATATGTCAATAAGGCTGATCTTATTGGTTATGTTTACTCTCTTCTCTGTTTAACCTCTCTTATTAGGGTGGTGTTGCATGAATCTTTCTCTGAATATGTCAATAAGGCTGATCTTATTGGTTATGTTTACTCTCTTCTCTGTTTAACCTCTCTTATTAGGGTGGTGTTGCATGAATCTTTTCTCTGAAAAGCAAATAGTGCATTTGCTTTCCTTATTGCTCTTGTACTTTCTGTTTTATAGACTACTATTTAATTTGATATTTGAAATGCTATGTATTCATTGTGAATTACTGAACTTACCATTCCAAAGTAAAACAACAAACTCACTGATATTGAACTGATGCCGACTTATAGTGGCCTTATGGGACAGGGTAGAATTGCCCCTGAGAACTTCAGAGGCTCTAACTCTTCACAGGATTAAAATGTCCCCTCTTTCTGCTGAGGAGCGGTTAGTGGCTCCCAACAGCTGACATTGCAGTAGTACTTCTCCCCCACATTCAACCTTTTAAGTCTTAAGATTACAATCCATGATTTCTCTCAGTGTCCATTTTTTTCTGGTATCTCATTACCATTCCTCTCTGAATCAATTTATTTTATATCTATCTCTTAAATATTATTTAGTTTGCTGTGGAAATCTAAAATTCTTTTTCTTTGAATAGGTGAATTAAGGTCCTATATAAATAAAGGGGCTTCATGGAATACACAGAATTAAAAGGTGATGAAAAACTTTTCATGAACTTCTTGACACCTTTCCATTTCAGAGACAGAAACTCTTCACAGGAGTAGAAAGCACTGCCTGTCTCCAGCAAAGTGGCTGGTGGTTTTGAAAGTCAGACCTGGAAGGTCAGGGTCAGTTGCGGAATCAGTTTGTAATTAAGTGTTGGGTTTGCCTTACCAGTAGTAGTAGGCTGAGGCGGTTTATCTTGTTTCTTAGTTTAAGAGTGCCCTCTTCTGAATGAATGTACAAATGCGCTTTACACAATTGATGTATGTATGGATTGTGATAAGAGTTGTATGAGCCCCAAATAAAATGATTAGGAAAAAAAAAAGAGTACCCTCTTCTGTTAGTATAGCGAGGAGCAGTTTGAAAACCAAAACATCCCCTTGTGGGAATGGTGTGTTCTGTATTCTTCTGGATCTTGGATGCCAGTATGTTTATGTAGGACTTGTGTTTTCAGCCCCTGCCTTCTTTATATTTGCTACCAAGCTTCTTCAAGAGACATTACTCTTTTCCAAGGTGACTTCCGCTCCCCTAGAAATGTTGATTTTCCAACACTGTGACTGTCTCTTCCCCTAGTACTCTGATACAAGTTCTCAAAATAAAATAACCCATCCACTGACCAAAGAGACCCTTGTCATTAATGCATGTGCGTGGGGACATGTGCATCATCGGTTGTACTTTGATATCTTAGTTTTAACCAACAGCTACTAGTTCAATATAAGCAAAATATGTTCCTTTAAACAATTAAAAAAATAATTGATTGATAAAAATGTAGAAAGGATATCACAAACTTAGCTACGTCCATTAAAAAAGAAAACATTACTAACACAAATGAGTCTCCCTCTATGTTTCCACAATATAGCCTGTTTTGGACCCCTCAAATACTGACATAAGCAAGATATATTATAATTTTCACATATTTTTTATTTTATATAAATGTATCCTATTATAGATATACCTCTGCAACTTGTTTTTTTCTCCTCAATTTGTTTTTAAGAGTAATCTGCACGAATCTGCATATTTTTACTTCATTGATTTTTCTTTTTGCTTTTGGAGAGTATTTTATTGTATGAATATTACACAATTTATGAACGGAGATAAGTAAACTAATATTGCTGTTGGTGTTTTGATTTATACATGGATTTACTCTGAACAAAATGTGTTTAAACATTTTCACTACAGACAAGTTCTCTCCACAATACACATGTCTAGTCTCAATAGAGTGTTTAGGTTTTGGTTTTGAAAAGGGCCCTATGAAAACAGTGACTTCTGAGGGGATCTGAGGGGCCAGTTAAATTCAAGGTCAAGAGGGCAGCTCAGAAGATGATGGCAACTATTTCAGCATCGGTGGGCCTGGCGCCCCTTGAAGATTTCCACATGTCTTGGCTTCAGTCTTCTTTGGGGTCTTGGAGGTTCTCCATGCATAAAACTCTGGGCCCAAAGGACACGTTCCACCCTTGTCTCTTCTTCCTTGGTGGCAGTGGGTTCTTCTCCTTCTTACCACACCCCTCTGTTCAGACCTCTCTCTCTCTCCACTTGTCTCAAGTGAGTCAGATAAAAGCCCAGAGAAACTCCTCTTACATCAGATCCAGGTTATGGTGGTGTTGTGGGTTAGACATTGAGCATTGCTAACTGTAAAGTCAGTGGTACAAACCCACCAGCTATTCATGGGAGAAAAAAGAAGCTTTGCGTTCCCATAAAGTTTTACAGCCTAAGAAACTCTATGAAGGATCACTATGAGTCAGAGAAAACTCTTTTGCCATGGGGGCAGGATAGTGGAGAGCCGGAACCATGAGCACATTGATCTTGGAAGAAATCTAGCTGGAAGGCTCCTTAGAAGGGAGGATGGCAAGACTTGATCTCACAACCTTTGGACATGTTATCCGGAGTAATCAGTCCCTCGATAAGAATATCATGAAAGATTAGCGACAAAGAAGAAGACCTTCAACTAGATAGATTGACCCAGTGATTGCAAAACATGGGGGCCAAACGTAATAGGCATTGTGAGGCTGGTGCAGCACCAGGTAGAGTTTTGCTCTGTTGTACAAGGGCTTGTAATGAACCAGAACTGACTTGATGAAACCTCACAACAACAATAGGGTAAAAATGTCTTCAACAATTTGAAATATTAGGGAGCCCTGGTTATATAGCAGGTTACATGCAGACCTGCTAGTTGCAAACATATAAAATATTGCCAACTTGTCTCTTAAGGATGGTAAATGACTCACACTACTGTAACAGTATAGGAAAGTACACATTGCTCTACATTCTGGAAAATAGAGTTATTGAAAAACAACTCTTCAATTTTTCTAATTTACATGAAATTATCACTTGTTTCTGTTAAGTTTCTCACACTTTAGTAATATACCTCTTCCTTATTTGTTATGCAATAACTCACATTTGAGACAAAAGTTAAAAAAACAAACCCATGATTGGGTACTTTATGCATTAATGACCTACATCTGGTAGTCACAAATGCAGTTTGTGAAACAAGAGTAATACTGGCTATGATGGTTAAAGGTTTGTGTTAATTTGCCTGGGCTGTGTTTCTTGGTGTTTTGGAAATTGGGTACTAACATAATCCGACCATTCTGAAATCAAATTTGTGTGATTTGGAAGACCTGTAATGACGTCATCATGTTTTCTTTTGTGATCTGTTATGGCCATCCTCCATTTTCACAAAATGCAGATTTTTGCATAATGGCCTAATCTTTGGAGCTTAACCATGTCGCCCATAGGCAAAAAGTGGCTGTGTACACCCTTTTAGTACATCACAGTGTCTCATTCGATGTCTGCATGTACTGACGGGGATTTCTTGGTCTCCAGTGCACTCCATAAGGCTTGCTGGAAGAGAGACTCGAACTGAAGAACCGTTTGTAACTGATATCAACCAGGCAGTTGATGAAATTGTTTGTGCTCTCCTGCCTCTTCTCCAGGATAAGTTATTTGCATTTTTTGGCCACAGGTATGTAAAATGTATTTTAAAAGACACGTGGAGATTTATTTTTGTAATCAAGAGTCCATGGTCAATGTTGTTCTTTGTGTCATGTCAGATGCATACTTTTTGTTTGGATTACACTACTTCGTTACCAATCAAGCAAGAAAGTAAGAGGGAGAAATTGTATAAATAATACTACAAAGGCCTTAATACCAGGGTGAATGGAATGTCTCCTTTGTGGAGTCAATAGTCCTGGGCTCCTTTTAGTATCTTCTCACTAGAAAATAGCTCCAGCATACTGGATCATTACGACCAGTCACACTTTTTACAATTGGCTTGTTTGTACAGTGGCTATAACTTTTTTTTCCCTTCCTCTTAAGCAAAAATAAGTAATAAATAAATACTTATCAAATCAAAACCCTACATCACAATTTACATTCATTTTAAATTTTAAATGAAAGAATCAGTCAGGAATAGTCACATACTGTATTTCACCCATGGAAAATATCTAGAATGGGCAAAGGTGTACAAGCCAATGTTGATCAGAGGTTACAATGAGTGGGTGGGAGGACTGGGGAAACAGAGTGCCATTGCTATAGGGGTGACTAAGCATTTGTTCAGGATGGTGAAGGAGCGTGGGGGTAGAACATGGTGACAGCTGTATAGGGTGGTGACCAGGACATCACTGAAGGGCACATGCCGAGACTGTTGGAAAGTGACCAAAGCTATGTGTCATTCACATGAGTGGGACCACAGGAAAAACAAAACAGGCCGAGGTCTTGGGGGCTGGCCCCAGTCCCAAATACTAAGTGGATGCCTGCCCCTCCCCCAGAAGAATTTATTTCAAAGGACAGCACTGAATCCGCAGCTCCAGGAGAGGGACATATCTGATCCGAGCACACAGGAGCAGATGACGGGGGAGGAGAAGACACTGGAGCACATCCTGGCCCACCAGGCCTTGAGGACGATGACCCCAATTAGAGCAGCCAGTCCACAGAGAGGACCACATGGCCAGCCC